TTTTGACCGACTTCTCCTTCATGTCGAGCATCAGGTCCTCCCGATCCGACTTGATTTGGCGGTCGATCAACGCCAATAAGAATTCGTACGACTTCTGAGGATGTTTGTCCGGTAACCTGTGGCCAGGAAAGTCGAGGTTGAATAAGTGCTCGATGTGATAGACAAGGTCCGTTCGATCAGATGTTCTGAATGACTGCGTGACCAATGCTACCAGTTTCTCGTCCCTTCACGATCACCCCTTGTTGATGTCGTAGTTCCGAATGCCGTGTAGCATCGAGGTATACATCTTTAGCTTCATCAGGTGCTTGTCTCAGCATGTTCTGCATGCCCATGGCCATTTTTATGTCAATCGTAGCAAACCTGTCGCCGCCGGAGTAGATTGAGGTCTGGGTTTAACCTGAGAGCCTGCTCTAACCATCTTGTCCATGCATCGGTATCTGGATCTGCGCATGCGTTCAGCACATTCATCAGCAATTGCATCTTCCAGTTATCGAGTTGATGGATCTTCGGCCAATTGGGAATGGATACCCTTTTTTTCCTCGACCTCTCATTCTTGATCTCGCGATCATCCCTCAATCGTCTGCGTCCCCTTCGTGTCCGATTGTCATCTTCCTCTTCCTCGTCCTCCTCATCCTCGTCGTCATCGTCATCCTCACCCTCATCATCGGGTGGTACATCCGGAGGTCCTCCTCCACCACCTGCCAGACTCAAGTGACGCTGACCTGGTCTCTGTTGACTTCCACCGAACGAGAATCCATTGTAATCCAAAGGAGGTGTATTGTTATTGCTTCCCCCTCCATTTCCACCACCACCAGTTATCGTAGTATGTTGTGGGACTAGCCCGACAACCCCTTGCATCTGTGATAGGTGTACATCGATCGTTGGATCACCAAAAGACAGAAAGAGAATCGAACCGGGTAATAGTGACGACTTAGGGATCGAACTGGATGATGATGACGGGTATGTCCCGGTCACCTTCTTGTCTTTCCTAATCGAATTAAGTTGGGGTCCTCCCTCAGGGCGTTTCACTACTGCTCGTTCACAACGTTCGTCCTTTTTGCTCGCGGCCTCCTGTGTCTCCAGCTTCTTGAATGTTCTGAGTTCCTCATTATCCGCATCGAGCTGACGAACGAAGCTCTGATCTTGTCTGAGCATCGCCTCCCGATTCTTCAGTTGTTCCTGAAGTTTGCGCATCTCCTCGAGGTACTCGTCATACACCCCTTTAGCAGTCGATTTCCAGAACTCAGCCTCTCTCGCCTTCTCGTCCATCGTGCACCGTTCTTCTTGTGTTGCTTCCCTGACCTGCAAGATTGCATCCTGACGATGGCCAGGGCGCTTGACCAGCGCATGCTCCAACTGTGATTTCAGGCTTTGAACCATCTCCTCCTCGTTGAACTTCTCAATAGATGTAGACGATTCAATCCCCCTGATCTGCTGTTGATAAACGGAAATCTGCTTTGAAGCTTCACGGTGAACTTGATTTGCATGCATTGCTGATTCCTGCGCAGCCGCCTTCTCGCTTGCCATGTAGGATCTCATCACTGCAATCTCCCGTTTCTGCTCCATGATCATTCCCTCAGCTTGTCGCATTTGTTGCATCATCGCATTCGACTCCATGTCTTTCTTCTCCCCGTATTGATATGCGTTCGTTTCCGCCTCACGCATCTGTTGGGCTTCCGCCTCAAACTTGCGCCAGGCCTCTGCCATGTGCTGTTGGTGATGACTCACAAGATGCCCCGATTGCTTACTGGCAATCTCGCATCGTCTCTCCAGTTCTTGGAACCGGACGGTGCTTCCATAGTCCTCCAGATGAAGATTCGCCATATTGCCGCCGACATTTCATCAATCGTCCTCTGATACTCCCCGATCTCCATCTCCATCTTGTTCTTCTCTTTGATTGCTGCGCGAAACTTGGCACTTGTAGGCGATTTGGATCTCCCACCTTTCGATGTCGACCTCACGCTCTTTTGACGCCCGTGGGGTCGCTGGTGAAGATGATGATCTCCTCCGTGGAGAATCTCTCTGTCTCGATTCCTGATGAATAGCGACTTGTTTCCATGGTCTTGTTGGCGTGGATATGTCGCTGAATACCGCTTCCAGGTTCATCCTGCGAATCGGCAACCATATCCATGACCGCAGGAAGAGCCATCAATCCATTGGATCCCTCCGAACTGTCATTCCCAAAAGTTGCAGTACTTGGGCTCGCTGAAGATTCCATTGCACTGTGTAGGTTATTGTTCTTCTGCAGTTCCTGCACCCGCAATAAACCAGCTGTCTTAACCTGTCAAGAGATGGCAAGATGACGTCCCGTAGGACGCTGTCCACCAGCTGAATGTACTCAACCACGTAGAAAGGGTATACGGCCAAACCGTTATAACCAAACCAGTGCAAACTGTTGTAAGGGGTATAGTCCAATAACCGCAAACACACACTCGATATCAGCAGCGCGAATGAACCTGTTTTCCCTCTCACAGATCGATCACAGGCGAACGTGTGCAAGACCTTGAGCCCTACTTGTAACTTGAGCCAAATGTGGCAACCAAAGGAACGTTCCAACCAACAAGAACATGCACCTCAGAACGGCTTCCCAATTTAGGCACGGGGCCAGGAGGGTTTTAACATTACTTTTACCGCTGCGCGCCCGCTGCCCGCCGCCCGCCGCACCCGCCGCCGCCCGCCGCACCCTCACTCACTCACTCACTCACTCGCTCGCTCGCTCGCTCACTCACTCACACTCACTCACTCACTCGCTCGCTCACTCACTCACTCACACGGACTCACACTCACTCACACTCACTCACTCGCCCACCCACTCACTCTCACTCTCACTCTCACTCTCACTCTCGCTCTCACTCTCACTCTCACTCTCTCCCACTCACTCACTCACTCACTCACTCACTCACTCACTCACTCACTCGCTCACTCACCCACTCACTCACTCACTCACTCACTCACTCACTCACTCACTCACTCACTCACTCACTCACTCACTCACTCACTCACTCACTCACTCACCTCACTCACTCACTCACTCACTCACTCACTCACTCACTCACTCACTCACTCACTCACTCACTCACTCACTCACTCACTCACTCACTCAATCACTCACTCACTCACTCACTCACTCACTCACTCACTCACTCACTCACTCACTCACTCACTCACTCACTCACTCACTCACTCACTCACTCACTCTTCACTCCACTCACTCCACTCACTCCACTCACTCCGCTCTCTCCACTCGCTCCACTCACTCCACTCACTCAGCTCAGCTCAGCTCAGCTCAGCTCAGCTCAGCCCAGTTTAGCCCAGCCCAGCCCAAGCTCAGCTCAGCTCACTCACTCACTCGCTCACTCACTCACTGCCACTCACTCACTCACTCACACTCACTCACGCTCACTCACTCACTCACTCACTCACTCACTCACTCACTCACCCAGTGCTTCCAAAAGTCGTTATTCAGTTTAAGGTCTTTTTACAGAACTTATTTAAGGTCGTTTTTCCTTAAATAAGGTCTTTTTAAAAGCCCTTATTTAAGGACTTTTGCTGTTATATAATCAGTACTTTTGTTGGTTAGGAGCCTGGCTCCTGGCAGTGCAAGGAGCAAGTAACTCCTTCCAAGGAGCAAGTAACTCCACAGGATGTGGACTGAAGAGGGCGTCGAAAACAAGCAGCTCTTGTTTTTTCACTTTAAGGCCACAATAGTAGAGGAGATATGTGTCTTCTTAAGTGAAAAGCAGGGGCTCTCTTTAGGCCTGTCCACTGTCCACTGGGAAGGGGGAAACAATAATTCTGAGAAAGGTCTGCTTTAGGATTGGGAATTGGGTATTGGGAAGGGAGATTAGGTGACAGCATTTTGCAAAAAGGAGCATGCGTGTGACTTAGTTTTATTTCAGGAGAACTGAAGCTCCTTCGAAATGCTCTCCTTTGAATAATTTTGGCTGCGTAGGAGCTGTTTACTCCTCTACAAGTTGCAGACCTGGCGGACGATAGCTGGATTGATATTTCAGGAGCTCATGCTCCTAGTGTTCGCCGCCCAACTTTTCAATACTGCAGCCTGTCTGAGATTTCTGGCCGCAGGCGGTCCTGTGCACGCTGAAGCACAAGTACCGGTCCTGCAAGTTCGACGAAGGCGACACTGCACTGCTGCGGGCCCTGATGCGCCGGTATGGTTGGGACCAACGCTCGGAGCAGGGAGGAACTTGCAGATGGTCCCAGACCTTCAAAGACGCGCGAAGTCGGAAGACTGGTCAGCATTTGCTTGGTTCTTGGCCATGGAGCTACTGCATCCTCTGGCTAGCATTGGAGTTCGTGACCTGCGCAGCCCCATTGCAGTAGGGGCGGCTAGGACGGCATCGACACTGACGTGCGTCAGCTGCGGGATGACCTGATAGCTTGGTAAGTGGTCGAGGGCTGCTCCCGCATCCCGTCCCCGGAGGACATCCGCAGCTGGCCAAGCGTGTCGAGAAGTACCAGACGAGCGGTGCCAGCCCGCCTCAAGGCCTTGACTTTGCTGTCTGCGCGGCCGTGCCATTGGGGAACTTCTCGAAACCGCGGCAACCCCGTGGCGACCCCGTGGCGAATGTCTAACTCCACTTTTCGTAGTACGGAAGTTTTCTAACTAAACTTCCTTTGACCAACTGCCCATGGACTTTGCGCAACCGTTGTCAAGAATGCTTCGACGTTGCGAGGGGGCGATGACGTTGCCCTACTTTCGTTAGGCCCACCAATCTAGAGAGTAGGGGCAGAAAGGTGTAGAGTCAACTGGAGGCATAGAAGAGCACGGAGCATAGGGGGGGCAAGATGTAGAGCAGCATAGGGGTAAAGAGTAAAGAAACCCAGAACAGAACTGTTCAAGGAATCCATCATGAGCCATTGATGGGCATGGGAAGGAGTGAATAGATAGAGAAAATGTAGAGACATCAATTTAACAGACAAGAACGTGCGCGTTGGCAGCGTGCGCCGGTTTCAGTATTCCAACATCACCCCGCCCCTGCCTTCAAACATAGGGTACAAAATGCCCGCATAAACGCATTGCATCCGCTTCTCAAAGCGCGCGTCCAGCACGTCTTTGATCTCCTGGCTTCGCACAGCCTCGAATGGCGACAAGGATTCCTTGGCAGGCACCACAGGCTCGGAATGAACGATCCCCATGTGGTCTGTGCGCCACTTGGCTGGCATATGATGCCAAAGGTTGTTCATCACTGCAAGCTGCGCTGGCGTCCGCTGCAGGAAATTTGGCCCAATCCAATCGGTGATGACGAACACACCTGAGGGCTTCAAGGCCTTGGAGATCTCTTCAGCAACGTGCTCGATGCGCTCGAAGTGATGATATGCGTGTTGAATGTAAATCACATCAAACGCCCCTTCCTCCAAATGGATCTCATTCACATCCATGACATGGTAGGTTACAGGAATCTCTGGGTTTGGCTGAAACTCCAAAAACTTTTGATACATCCCCTCTGCAGTGTCGTACGCCTCGATACTGTCCACCCCGAATGATTTCAGCATTGGGTACTCGCCCGCCATGGGCCCGCATCCAAGCGTCAATCCACGCCTCTTTCCAGACTTTTCCCCAAGCAATGAACGTGCCAGGGTTCCCACATCTGCAACTTTATGGAGCTCATGCTGAAAATGTTGGATGCTTGTCCAGGAAATTCGCCATTGCAAGCGATCATCATGCTTTCCCCAGAACGCAGCCTCCTCTTGCGCTTTGTGCTCGGAAGCCACGCTTTGGCTTAACGAAGACGTCTCTTGTCTAGTGGGCTGAAAGGACTGCCTGGGCCTGGGAACGTCACAAAGATAGAACGTCACAAAGCCAGCAACTGCCAGGATGCCAACTGATCCCATTGCGGCGAGCTTCCCTGTGGCAAACACACGGGCCATCCCAACTACACGCAAGCCAAGCGTCAAAGCGCTTTCAAGGAGGTTGCAAGCCGTTAGCTCCTACAGGTTTCACAGCTAAGCGCAACTTTTTTGCTGTAAGTTGGAGGGCGTCAACTTGAATGCGTCTTTGATCGCCGAACACATGCCCTTGCTTGAGGCGCGGTACTATCTGTTGTCGGCTGAGAACCAACGGCTCAGCAGCGAAGTGTGCGAATGGGAGACAAACCCCAAAAACTGTGTACGCCAAGCATGGGGACGAACAAGAACATGTCTCGCGACCAACTCAGCAGGCATTGAGCAAAAGCTCTCCTGGTCATGGAAAACACAGCAGAAGACAAAAGTTTGCCAAAGCCAAACAGTGCGTGAAGGCAAAAATCAAGGAAACCACGGACTGGTGAGGCCTCTTTCACAAGTCGGCGTGGTCGACCAAACGTTGCTTGGCGCAGAGTTAATGAAAACTTACTTGGCCGCTACGGAGCGCCTTGTTTTCTTGGGCCAAAAAATAACATAGTCGCGACTGTGTTTGCCTGGTGTGCTTCGCCTAGTGACAGCGTCGCCTGCGTGGTCAGAATCAACCTGTGTGCGGATCTTCGCGGGCTTGGCTTGTCTCCTCTAAACACTTGACAAAGATCAGGATACTTTAGAAAATGCCTGAACAGTCTCTTCAGGTCTTGCATTGCCGCCTTGGCCGGTGTGACCATCTTCCTTGAAAGATTCTTGACAGCGTGCGAAAGATCAGGACGATCTTGACTGAGCTCTCATCACACTCGACCTATAAAGTGAAGCTGCCTCCCTTGCCAACGGAGGGCTGTTAGCCTCCAAAAGCTGCTGCTCCACCGACTTCTTGATGTCCGGGGTCTCGGTTCCCTCTGGTTCCAAAAACACCGCAGATTGACCTTCGTGCACGCCAGTGCGAATCAAGTGTTTCAAGAAATGTGAGGAACGATCATCTCCATCCTCGTCTCGCAGCATTCCGAGCCGTCGCAGCTCGTAGGCACTCCTCAAAATGGAATCCAGCTCATCCGAAGCTTCTTGATCACCAAGCGCAAGAAAGTCGTCTCCATGAACCAACACTCTGCGCCCTGCGCTCGGCTTGTAAAAGCAGGAGCCATTGCTGCGGCCACGCTCAAACCCGTGCTTCAAGAGAAGTTGGGTGTAATGGTCTTGCCATGTAGCTGGCGCGTCTTGGCAACCGTACATACTCTTCACCTAGCTTCAATCTCCGGCCTTTCGCCCATACCTGGTCAGTGGACCAGGCGCTCAGCAGGCACCTGTCGCCTCCAACGGTGGTGTTGACGAGAACAGGAGGTTCTGCGGCAGCTGTTCTTCCGGTCTCTTAGCTGCCTTGCCGTTGGGTGATTTCTCGGGCAACCAACCTCGACCGGTAGTTGGGCTTCTCCGGATCTCCCTTGTCTCACCGAAATTCGACGAAGTCCCTCTGCATAGCATTGTGCTACCGGCACCTTCCGGTAGACCCCTTGCTTCTTGAAATTGTCCATCTTAAGAGTTCTAGCCTCCTTCACTTCTTCTGCTGGTGGAAGTCCTCCACATCATCCCAGCACTCCTTGGTGTAATCTGCTGGAACACAAGGTTCTTCACAGATTGGCCCTGAGGTACTTGTCTCCATTGTTCTAAGCTCACCCTTCTGTGCAAGGTAAGCCTTGACTGTCCGAAGGACAGCTCTGGCGGCCTGTTTGGCAATTCCACCGACGAGGCGCGCATGCCTGTGCACCTTGCAAGAGCTCAGCAAGCTCCCGGCTGTTAGTAAGCCAGCCAACCTCCTTTCTCACACAGCCTGTGCCTTGAAGACCACGGCGATCAGTCGCCATCATCTCCCAACAGCACATAGGCCCTCGGACTAGGTAAGTGTCCGATCGATCCGTCAGTTCTTTGACTTCAGGTTTTTCGTCATGATGTTGCAGTCCAGGGTGCCTCGTGCAAGAACTTGTAGACGCGGCATGAGTTGCGCAGCTGCTCCAGTCGGTTCGTTCTTCTTGCGTTGATCCGGGCTGACTCTGTACTTGTTAATGTTCTGCCAGTAAGTAGCACTGGCGCGTCCAGATCAACTATCTTACTCGCTGACGCAATGTCCTCAGACTTGCTCAGACCCGAATAGGTTCCATCGGGCTTGGCCTCCTCAAGGTCGATGGCATAGCCCGGCTTCAGACCCAAATGGGCTGCTTCTCCCGTGAACCTCTTAGGGCTGATCTCCATCAAGTCTACTGCACCTATTTCACAGCTGATTTCAGCTAGAGACTGAATCTCCATTGATGAAATGCTCGTAGGCCTGCTTGATCTTCCTCTCGATCATCCTCCTTGCCACCTCCTTGACCGGTGAAGGTTTAGCCTGCTCCCTGCAGATGTTGCGCTCCTTGGTTCTGCAGGCACTCGCTTAGGCTTGACCTTTCCTCCTCACTTGCCTGCACGGCCTTATCGGCCGGGGCACCAGCTGCATCCTTCTTCTCCTCGTCTCTTGATCTCTTCTTCCTCTCATGCTTGTCAGGTCTGTTCTTACCTTCCTCATCTTGTTGCGTCAGAGTCACAATCCTGGCTCTGCATGCTTCCGTGTGTGCCAACGGTAGACTTGCCCAACAGGACACATGTGCATCCTGGGCAACCATCTGTAAGCGTGTACTTCTCGACATCCGCCTTCCTGATGTAAATCCGCTTTTGCAGCGGTGGTGCCATGACATGGGTTGCCGGTGGCACCTCCATCCTTGGCTCTCCAAGTCCCGGAACGTGGTGTGCCTGGTACGGTGGCCGGTGCGCCGGCCCTCCTTGAGTCGTCCCTACCTCACGCTAGTGCCTTTTGCCAGTTCTTAATTCCCACAACGCCTATGCTCAGGCGCGCGGCCGTCCGGCCCTTTACGGTACCGGCACATTAAATCCGCTGCGTGTCGCGGAAGCCACGCAAGAACTGGATCATCCTCGCGTCGTACCTTGCCGATCCTCTCCTCTAAAGAAGACCTCAAGACTCTTGCCTGTCTCTTGATCTCACGGAGTCCGTTGCTTTGGGGGCCACCCGCCCGGGATTCCTGTGGAACATTCTCCACCCCAGCCTCTCGGGCTGCCTGCTCCTTACGAGCAACAATCAAACGCTCACCATCACTTATCATAGCCGCTCTCCTGTAACCTAAGTGCTTCAAGAAGTTGGCAAAGAACTTCACCGCATATGGTGTAGGTCCTTTCGCATCCACAAAAAGTGGCTGCTACTGACAAAGCCCGGTTCTCCTTGATCACTTGGCCCTTCCATCTTCTTCGCCATCTGTGGTCATGAAGGTGCAATCGCTTGCGATAATGGGTAAACCATCATCCTTCTTACCGAGACCTGTGTTGTTGACCCAGGCCTCTCCTGGCCAACACAGTGCCGACACCAAGTCCTATACTGGACATGGCCTGTGGGCTCGTGTTCGTCCACCTCCGCCCTTGTTAGATGCAGGCGGTACAATCTCACTTTCTTCTTCGCGCTCAGGAACACCCTCAGGTCGATCTCCTCATCTCCTTGTCCGGCGGGCGCAGCATCATCTGCTGCTGCCATGGCTTGGGCCGGACTTACACCTCTGTGGGCTGCGCCCAAAACTCGGAGAGCCTTTGCCTTCAAGTAGAAGTTGTAGACACCGGAACCCATGCCTTAGCATGTGCCTTGTTCTTCTCCTTCTTGATGAGCTCCAAGATCTTGCCAGAAACCTTAGTCCTGCGGGATCAGATCCCAACCAGGAGTTTGTGTAGCGGAGCCAACGGGCCTGTGACATGCTCTCCAATTCCTTTCAACATACCCGTGCCGGTCCCACGCACCAGCTCGCCTGAGGCCGTCTTGAACATTGATTGGTAATTGTCCTGCCCAGTCTGAGATTGCCGTCTGGCAAATTGAAGCGGGCCCATTGCATGGCCTGGAGATCTTCTCCAGCTGTGAGTGCGCCCAGTTTAAACATACTCATATCATGCTTTTCTGTTCGGGTTGTTCTTCTTCATGGGCCTCACCCTTCTTCTTCCTCTACTGAGTTCGCGCCTTTTGGTTTTCCCCTTGTCCTTTGGCTTGGAGTTCTTGCCAGTCCCTCTTGAGTCTTTGTTTGAGCCTTTGCTTGAGCCGTCCTTTTTCTTACCCCAGCACTCCGCAGCTTTATGTCCGGGTTTACCACAGTTGTAGCAAGTCATATCCTTGGAAGCTGATCCTTTGCTGTTGCCCTTGTCTTTACCTTTGCCGTTTCCTTCGCCCTTTCCTTGCCCGGACCCCTTGCCTTTGATAAGGCTGTTGAGCACCTTCGTGTGTCAGTTGGCACGAGTAGTTTCCAGGGAGGTCGCCTTTATGTCAAACCGGAACGATTCACCAACGACGAACACATGTATCGGAAATGGGTACGTTCGGTGACCAATCTCGATGCGAAAATCGCAAGAGCGAAGCCGGGGACAGGGAAAAGTTGTCAGACACCAATCCCTTTTGTGTCAACCAACAGCCCCCAGGATTCCTCTCCTTTTAACATTCCTGGCAAATTCTGGCATGCTTTCAGCCAGTCTAGTTAGGGCATCTGTTTGCGCCTGCTGTCGCTGCTGTTGTTCGCGTAACTCCGTCATTCTGTAGCTGACGGGTCTTCTTGCACTCGCTGGCTGACGTAGGATTCTCTTGCAAGCGCTCGCTGGCTGATGTATTTGTGTATGAGTCTGCGGGCTTGCCCCACTGATGCGGGTGATGCGGGTGATGCTGGTGATGCAGGTGATGTTGTGGATGTTGCTGGGCTCCGCAGCCTTGAAACACTGGAAAAATGCAAGGTTTCCACTGCAAAAAAACTGAAAAAACGCTTGGCTTTGACATGCTTTGCGACGCTTTGCGCGGCAACTGGCCCAGGCTGCGCGCGTACGCACGTGCTTGAGCGCGTGCGCGTGCGTGCGTGCCTGCGCGCGCGCGCGTGCGTTTGTGCGTCCCTGCGCGCGTGCGTGCGTGCGCGCTTGCGGGCGCGTCCTGCTGTCATGGTTGCTGTTGTTGTTGTTGTTGTTGTTGTTGTTGTTGTTGTTGTTGTTGTTGTTGTTGTCGTCGTCGTCGTCGTTGTCGTTGTCGTTGTCGTTGCGGTTGTTGTTGTTATTGTTGTTGTTGTTGCTGTTGCTGGTGTTGGTGTTGTGGCTGTGGCTGTGGCTGTGGCTGTGGCTGTGGCTGTGGTTGCAGTTGTGGTTGCGGTTGTGGTTGTGGTTGTGGTTGTGGTTGTGGTTGCGGCTGTGGCTGCGGTTGTGGTTGTGGTTCTGGTTGTTGTTGTTGTTGTTGTTGTTGTTGTTGTGGTTGTCGTTGTCGTTGTCGTTGTCGTTGTGTTGTCGTTGTCGTTGTCGTTGTCGTTGTCGTTGTCGTTGTCGTTGTTGTCGTTGTCGTTGTCGTTGTCGTTGTCGTTGTCGTTGTCGGTGTCGTTGTTGTTGTTGTTGTGGTTGCGGTTGTGGTTGTGGTT